CTTGTTTTGGAGAAAAAGTTTGGAGTTCATCTGAGAGCAGGTATTGGAGGGAAGACGAGTCCTACAAGAAGAAACCAATGGTTGCTGGAGGGTTCATTGAGCTCTGGCAGGGACCGGTTCGGGGAAGGGGCTAAAACCGAGGATAGGATGAGAGTCGGGAGAAAAGAATCAAGGGCTGAGTCAGAACAGAGTACAACAAAAGTGTAGGAGGTGAGAATAAGGAAGAAGGCACATAAGAACAAAAGCGTAGGATGTTGTGGGAGACACAAAAAGATGATCTGCAAGGGAAGGAAAATATGGTACTGGATGGGACAAAAAACGGGGAGGAAGCGGGCTTCGAGTAGTAGGCCCGCCTATGAAGACTAAGAACCAGAGGTCAGGAATCTTGATAAGGGTGCAGAGCAAGCAGATTGGGAGACAAACTATTATTTTTTATTTTAGCTTCTTTTAATTTTCAGACTGTTCTGTTTGTTTTTCATTTTGGTTTGCTATTATGATTACTGTTTGTAAGACATTGAGTTTGGATGTGGGTGACAGTGGAATTAGGGTAACCGTTTTTGGCTCATTTGTGCCCATTAATTGATCAACGAGTTATATTGCTTTGGATGAGGTGATTAACTCTGAGTCTGGTTCGCGGGACAGCGGCTATCAGGATTCTATTTGTCGGATTACCCATTATCTGAATGTTAGGATTTCAATTTAAGCCAAATTCTTCCAAAAAAAAAAAGAATTAAAATATTACATTTCTTTGTTTTTATATATCAATTAATTAGTATTTTCTAATTTGATAAAGCATATTTCTTGTATTTGAAGAAAAATTCACTGAAAGTTAAATTAATATAAAATTTGTTTCTTTAAAAAAGTCAAAACTCACGATTCTTAAGTTTTCGTTTAATAATTCTTTATCTTGTGATCTATAGATAATTAACGTTGTCCATCTATGAAATTCATTTTCATCTCTCAAATTCTCCATAAAAATTAGCATATAATATATTCCCTCAAATATTTATGCTTGCAATTGTATTACACTTTCTTTTAGTTAAAATATGACAATAATTAAATATATACGAAACCATCATGTATTATCACACTCTTTCTCATTAATTCTCTAATCACTCCCCTCATCGTGCCCCTGCCCCGATTATTACCCATCAAATTAGCACTTTAAAATGTTTAGGAACGTAATAACGTATTAACAAAGCCTCATTCTTTGTGAGGGTTATTCACGAGTTCATACGTATAGAATAAATTCCAAGGGAGCATTTCCTATAATCCATAATAAATAGTCATAGTTGAGGCTTTAGGTAAGCATTCCGTTTAATTAATGATTTTAAATCCATACATTATCTGGGTCAAAGAAATAGATTACGATAATTAATTATATGAAGTAGTGAATTAAATGCACTTCACTCGCTCTCACCTATATTTGTTTGCTGTATATTAATAAATGATCAATATAATAAATGAAGTGATGAAGGGACAATATCATACATTACCGCAAGAGTTTGAAAATATAAAATAATATTACCATCAGGAGCGTAATCAGGAGTAAGAGTTGGACTGAGCCGGTACAAAGAGTTTATACAGATAAATTTTTACACATAAATTTTCTCATTAAAAATATAAGCAATTTTAAAACTTGGTTTGGGCCGGGGCCCGGTTGGCCACCCCTCCACCTCCTCCCCTGACTACGACACTTAGTATATTATCATTATTATATATTTGATTGCAGTAATTTTATTTTAAGTTTTTCAAAACACAATTTTAGTTATCCATATAGAAGTTAATATCATAAAAATATAAGCTGTGATAAAGTTAACAACACTTTGCAAATAAAATGTGTGTTGTTGTGTTGACACAATGACACAGTAATAGAAAACTAATTACTAAAGTAATTTGATCAGTAGTACAGACATAAAATTTCAACTCATTCATTCTTCTTGAATTAACTGACATAAAATAGTGCGGGAAGACTCTTCTAACCCTCAGTATGTTTTGCACTAAATTCATCTTTATATTTTTGAAAGTACAAATGTATATTTAATGAATAAATGTGGGCAATCTTGAGATCGATACAAACACGTACAAATTACTCCTATTTTGGAACAAAAAGTTGGCTCAAATAACATTTTTTTGGGACAAAAAATATATTTAACAAGAAGAACTGAAGTATCACTTAGGATACTTTCACTTGAAACGAAGTTTCCTTGCCAAGTTTGATAAATCTTATCTGATCTAAATAAGCATGCTTTTGGAAGATAAAGTTTTGATATATATATATATATATATATATATATATATATATATATATATATATATATATATATATATATATATATATATGTGTGTGTGTGTGTGTGTGTGTGTGTGTGTGTGTGTTATACTATTGCTTAAGTCGGATTTATTTAAGTAGTCTAAGAATGAAATTAGTACATGCAAAGAAAACATCTTTAATTAGGAGTGAAATAATGACATGGACAAAAAGAGAATAATGAAAAGTTCACAAAAATGATATGTTTGCACACTAATATTGTTGAAGTGGGTGCACTTTAACCACCTTTACTTATGGTATAGCTCAAGAGTAATTTCATGTGATTTCAGTCGCGGAAAATAACACTTGTATCAAATTTTTATACTTATAGTTAGGATTGGATAAAGATAATTAATTAGTTATGCTTTTGACAAATTGTCTGAACAAATCAAGCTGAAAACTATTAATTATATATTTATACAAACAACTAATATAATATGAGGAAGCGTTTATTTGCGCTCCACTCGCACTGAATTGTACAGAAATGTTTTTTTGCAGAAATGTTGATATCGAGTTGCACAAGACCGATGTTTGTGCACATACATTAGTTGTGTGCGACGACATACTGACATGCAAGAACTATTTTTTGTTTGTACAAAAGATTTATTGTCTTAAAAATCGTACGCTTCCAAAAAACATTTTTTTGTTTGTAACCTTTCTTTATGGATGGGAAGGATTTTGAAAAAACATATAAAAATGTTCAACTTATTGATAATCCAAGCATTTGATGTTCGGATTCTACTCATTTAAGAGTTTTTTCCCATGGAGGGGTGTTTTTCAAACTTATTTCCCAAACTAAGGTACTTTTAAACTTATTTCCCAAACAGGGGTATTTTTTGCCATGTCACCTTAGTATCACTGAGGGGCGCCACATCAGCTTATCCACATCATCCCATCAATTCCATGTCATCAATTTTGAGAATTTAGGTGTGCTTCTAAAATATAGAAAAAAATGAAGCTAATAAGATTCAAACTTGGGTGGAACACAAGAAAGGCATGTATGTGAACCATTACACTACATCATCCACTTGTTAACAAATGCCTTTTAAGAAGTATAAATCATGTATCCTTCATCCCGGGAGTGCACTATTTCTTAATCGCGTGTATTATTCGTTCCTTTAGAAATATCTCTCTTTACCAAACAATAAAAAATGTAATAATAAAAAACTGAATTTGAGTTATTCAATTAAAAATCTTATTAAAACTTATAATAAAAACATAATTTGCTAATTTAATTTGAAAAATAAAGAAATATTTTATTTAGAATACAAAAAATTAATCTAAACTTATAATGACAAAACACAATTTGGAATATGTATTTTTTTAAATAACTTAGCTTCAAATGAAATAAAATCAATTAAAATAAATGTCATATTTCTAAGTTACTTATTTCTAAGTTACTTATTGCATGAAATTTACTTATTTTTTATTTTATTTACTTTTGATTTATTTCAAATAACTTTTAAATTATATACTTCAATTTTTTTATAAATTTAAATTACATTTTTATAGAATTAAATATCGCAAACTAAGCTTTTCGTTGTGATTATTTCATTATAGCAGCTCAACTCTTCTGGACTCGGTTCAATTTTCTCATTGATTATTATTGTTTCAAATTCAAATACAACACTCAAATTTGAACTAAATTGTAACATGTTAAATTTTAGTGAAATTTGCAATACAAATACTTTAAGTCGAAGAATGTATACATTTAGCTGTGTATTACTCATTGCTTTAAAAATATATAGCTTCTTTTTAAAATAATTAAAAAATTATGCAAAATACTAGGTTTGTGATAATTAAAAATAAAGACTTAATTAAAATTTATTGTTACAAAATGTTATGAAAGGCTCTATCCCACCCCAATTTAAAATCAGATACTATTCATGTCAAGAAAATCATATAATATTTATCTAAGAAAGAAAAAAACTTGATAAATTTATAAACGAAAAATGCTTGGTTCTGAGGCGGAGTCGAGCTGAGGCTGAACAAAATTGAGCTGTTAGAGAATTTTCATAAAGAAAAATTTATACGATATTTTACATTAATATTAAACCTTTTATAGAATTTAAAGTGGACTAGCATGAAATTTACTTATGTTTTATTTTATTTTATAAGTTTTTTATTGTTATATTTTTAATTGTTTGGGAAAGGAAGAAATATACTTCGTATTTCTAAAGGAACAAATAATACATGCGATTAAGAAATAGTGCACTCCCGGGGTGAAGTATACATGATTTATACTTCTTAAAAGACATTTGTTAACAAGTGAATGGTGTAGTGTAGTGGTTTACATACATGCCTTTCTGGTGTTCCACCCAGGTTCGAATCCTGTTAGTTTCATTTTTTTCTATATTTTAGAAGCACACCTAACTCTCAAAATTGATGACATGGAATTGCTGGGATGATGTGGATAAGCTGATGTGGCGCCCAGCAGTGATACTGAGGTGACATGGCAAAAAATACCCCTGTTTGGGAAATAAGTTTAAAAATACCTTAGTTTGGGAAATAAGTTTGAAAAACACCCCTCAATGGGAAAAAACTCACTCATTTAAGTATTTCCTTAACTATTTCCTTCCTTGTAATTAATACTCATGCATTAATTACTTGCACTAATCTCAGGGTAGGTGACTAGCACTTTTTCACATATATAAATACGCACCTTAGCTTTTATTCTCCACAGTCCACACCAAAGCCTATTATTTTTGTCAATTAATTAAATTCTTCTATGTCGAGTGAAGGTGAGGATCGATTATTTCTTAACCTTAAATCAGGTGCTTTAAAAAACAATTATTCTAGTACTAGTCAACGCCCCAATGACTATTATCAGTCTCATTGGTTGGTTGACCGGCGCCCAATGATATGTCGTGTTTGTGATCAAATTTGTTCAGATGCTCTAAGCCTTTTACACCATTTTGAGATTCACCAAGCACAAGGTTTGACCTTGTCAGTTCCCCACACCGCAGGGCCGCCGCCGCCGTCACTGCATATCGGTCAAAGTCAAACAGATGGTCGTACAAAGTCTTTGCTCAACCAATTGGAGAAGAAGCCACCCGTCGGAGAGGTTATCATCCTTGACAACGAAGAGGATCAAGATGGCAAGTTGGACCTTAATCTCAAACTTTAGGAAGTTGATTATTGGTTTCTTTAGTTTGATTTATTATGATAAATGTTTAGTTTTTTTTATGATTCTAGTTTATTTGAGCCTAAAGGGTGTGCTTAAAACATACCTATATAGTCTTGTTTAGCTTTTGAATATCGGTATTAATTATATCATGGTTTAATTGATGATGTGGTCATGTTAGGTGAAGATTTTAGATTGGATTAATATGTTTTGAATCTTAATTAATTAACTATTTAAATAGTGAGTACATCTCAACCCATGCATATAATAATGCTAAAAACGTGTTCCATGAGATTAATGGCAATCAATGTGTATTTGAACGTCAAATAAAGGATTTCTGGTTAATGGCAAATGACAATGAGAGCGGAGTGTTTCTATTAGTATAGTACAGAGGTACTTTGTATATATATTTTTTATTCAAAAAAAAAATTACTTACATTAGTGTACATAGAATAACTAATTAAAAGTACCACACATAAAATTTGCACAATGAGAATTACTTAGATTTTATAATTGAAAAGCTCTAAAAAAATTATGGGTAGCTCAAAAGCCCAAGTGATTCCTAATTGAAGCAAACCTCTAAATATGAATCCTCTAATTCTTCACTTGCAATTTGAAATAAATATAATTAAAGAATTTTATTCAAAATTAAATCTTTAATCCTTCAATAATTCGCTTCGAACGTTCTTCGGATCTTTGAATCTTTGTTCTTGAGATCTTCGAATCTTTGAATATTCGTTACGTTCTTTGAATTTTAAAATGTTTTGAATGTAGAATTCAGCTTGAAGGGCTTCCGGTTTTCAAGTAGCTTGATCTTCAACAAAAGAGCTGTTTTATGACTTGATCTTTTGTTTAAGGGCTTCCCGGGATATATGACTTGGTCTTCAATTGAATTTTGATTCAATCTTTATATGAATATCTTTGAATCTTCAAAGATTCATTCTTCATATCTTCGAATCTTCAAAGCATTGTTCTTCAGATCTTCGAATCTTTGAGCTTCGTTTTTCAGATCTTCAAACGTTCTTTAACTTTTGGATTTATTTTATCAAATAAACCAAATAAAAAAGATTATTCGTATATTCTTAATAAAATTCATGGCTTGATCTCTTCCTCTTCTTTGGAATCGTTCAGAGCCTCTCGGGAGTTCTTCAGAGCTTTTCTGCAGCGTTTCTTCGTGTGTAAGTTCTCTCTTCCATTTCTCTCAACTGATACCCTATTAATAGGTATGGAGGGGATAAGATCTGGCCTAGGGTTGCAAAAATTAGTCCATACCTCATGGGCCCTAATTAAAATGGGCTTTGAGCTCCATTTTCTTGTATTTTAATAGCTAGAAAATGTCGGAGTTCTTAATCTTTTTGCACACTATTGGTGGTCTTTCTAGGGTTATCCCTAGCAGTTTGTACTGACTGTGACTTTTGTCACTAGATTCAGGTGTGGCTTTTGTCGGACTCCGGCGTGTTATCATCTGCTTTTGAGATGAGCATACTAAGTTGGAATTGTAGGGGTTTGGGAAATCCAGCTACTACACAATGCTTCGCAGATATGGCGCAGGCTAATAGACCGTCAATAATTTTTCTGATGGAGACCAAATTGCATTGTCAAAAGGTGAAAGAAATTATCAAGGCTTTCGGCTTCCATGGAAGCTATGGAATCGATAGCGAAGGATTGTGCGGCGGTCTAATACTTGGATGGAGAGACGAGGTCGAAGTAGTGATTGTGAAGGGAGAGCCTAATTTCATTGATTGTCGGGTTCGTATGAAACTGAACGATCAGCCATGGCGGTTGACTGGCTTTTATGGCTTTCCAGAGACCCGTCGTCGACGGGAAGCGTGGGCAATGATGGAGGACTTGGCCGTGAATAACAGCGAGTCGTGGATGCTTATTGGTGATTTTAATGATATTCTGTACGAAAATGAAAAGAAAGGGCGTATTCCCCATCCCCCATGGAGGCTTCGCGGTTTCCGAGAGGCGGTTCACAGCCGTGGTTTAAGAGACTTTCCTTTTTCAGGGTACAAGTGTACCTGGGAGAGAGGCAAAGGTACCGCTTATTGGGTCGAAGAAAAACTTGATAGAATACTTGTTAATGATGATTGGTGGAACACTTTCATGGAGGCTCAAGCGCCCTCTATTGAAGCCCCGACAAGTGACCATATGGCCTTATGGATAAAGATTGGTTCTACAAACAATGCTAGCAGAAAGAAAAGATTCAAATTTGAAAATAATTGAGTGAAGGAGGAGGAGTGTCGCTTGGTGGTGACGAACAGTTGGGGAGCAGCAACTCACATGACAATTAACGATCGGATCTCCTTCTGTGGAAATGAGCTCCTTCGTTGGGACCGATGCAGAAAGCGGGGATTCGGATATCAATTCTGGACTGCAAGAGGAGATTATCATGGCTGTGTGGGAAAGAGGATAGAGCAAGTGTGACCGAGTTCCTCAGGGTCCGAACTGTGCTTCAAATTCTCTTGGAAAAGGAGAACATGTTTTGGAAGCAGCGAGCAAAAGAGTTTTGGCTCAAAGAAGGTGATATTAACTCTCACTTTTTCCATAATGCTGTGAAACAAAGGAGCAGAAGGAATAGGATGTCTGCCATCAAAATGGCGGATGGTTCTTGGAATACAGATAGGGCAAAGCTGGAAACGATTGTCATTGATTATTTCTCCTCTCTTTTCCAAGCATCAGGGGGGATTTCGCTCAGGTCACTGTTGATCAAAATAATATGTTGCTAAAGCCTATTTGTTCAGTAGAGGTTAAAACGGCTTTTTTGGCATGCACCCGGAGAAGGCCTACTGGGATGTGGTCGGAGACGAAGTCTCGGCCCTTTGTGCTAATATGTTCGATTCATGTACCATTACTCCGAACATTAATATTACTAATATTGTTCTAATACAAAAAAAAGATAAACCGGAGGTTATGGGGGACTGGAGACCTATTGCGCTATGCAACGTGATATATATTTTTTTTCTTCTAAAATACTAGCGAATAGGCTTAAAGGAATTCTGGATTTGTTGGTGGGGGAGAGTCAAAGTGATTTCATACCTGGTAGATCTATTATCGATAATATAATTTTAGCCTTTGAGACCCAACATTTTCTGAAAAGAAAGAGCTATGGTAAGGATGATTTTGTTGCTCTCAAGCTCGACATGAGCAAAACATATGATAGAGTTGATTGGAACTTTTTAAGGGGAGTCATGAGCAAGATGAGATTTAGCAGTCGATGGATTCATATTAATATGGAATGTGTCTCTATTGTTAGCTACTATGTCCAATTCGATGGAGATTTTCTGGGACCGATTAGCCCGGGAAGGGGACTTCACCAAGGGGACCCTCTATCCCCTTTACCTTACTTGTTGCAGAGGGGTTAAGCGCCCTTTTACGTAAGGCTGAGCAGAAGGGGGATATTCATGGGGTGGCGGTGTGCAGGGGTGCCCCACGTGTTACACACCTGCTATTTGCGGACGATAGCTTCTTATTTTTTAAAGCCAACAGTAATGAATGTTGTGCAGTTAAGAAAATTTTGCAGGAGTACGAAGCTTTCTCGGACCAGGCAATTAATTTTGCTAAATCCTCTGTCACTTTCAGTCAGAATGTAGTCGAATCATTCAAGGAGCAATGCTGTAATTTCTTTGAAGTACCGCGGGATGGAGGTCAACAACGGTACTTGGGCCTTCCAAGTCTGATCGGGCGAGGTAAGTTTGCTATCCTTGGTTATATTCGTGATAGATTTTTTAACAGAATTAAAAATTGGAACAACCGATTTTTGTCACGAGCGGGTAGGGCAGTGTTACTGCGGAATGTGGTTCAAGCCATGTCTACTTATGCTATGAATGTGTTCCTTTTACCTCGTGATTTATGTGATGAGATTGAGAAACTTATGAATTGTAACACCGTCCCCAAATAATATTTACTTCTTAGTAAATAATGTATGAAACCTTATGGAATGATCAATGAATTTATGAAGTTGTAAATTTTTATTAATTCTTTCGCGTGAATAGTAGATTGCACGTGGGGCGCGCATCGGGAACGGGGACCATTCGATAATCCCGGGACCACATATTATATTCATCTTGGTCTAGATGATATTTATATGGTGGTGGACATTTTAGTTGGGCCATAGGAAGGGCATAGGGTTGACCCGTCGGTCAAACGAGGCCCAATTACCGGTATTGGTAATTTTTCAGATAACAGTCCGAAACGGAATTCGGAGGCTCTTAAATTACAAAGGAGGAATGTATATTCATTCTAAGAGTCCATAATGATGGAAAACACATAATATATTTTATTTGACCTGATAAAATGAAATATAATTAAAACAGTCCGAAAAATACAACTTTCGGGACCGATTGTACACTTTGGGACAAAAAGGGTTGACCTCCCACATGTGTGGGGGCCAACCCACGAATTTAGCCACTCAATTAAGAGGGTTGGCCGGCTGGGGTGATGGGAGTGCATGGGAGGAGAGTGTGAAAGGAGAGGAATGACATCAAAGGTACAATAGGGGATCCATCCCCACATTATTTTGAGAGAAAAGCCAAAGAGGCTATCTCCTCACTCACCCACTCCATTATTTTCGGCCAAGCTACCAAAAGAGGAGGAAAAGGAAGCTCTCAAGTCATGCTCCATTGCTGCAACTCGAGCTCAAACAAAGGTGGCCCAAGGAAGAAGATTATAGGAGGAAAAAGCTAGGAAAAAGTGTGAAAATTAAGGTGATAACTTTATCATAGCTTTTCCCTTATTTTTCTTCTATCATATGAGATAAATATCATATGGAGGACCCTTAGGATTGTTCTACATGGTATGAGTGTGGAATAATGGATTGGAAGGTAGTTCTAAGTCCGAGAACGGACTTAGAAGCCAAAACGACCGGTTCGCCGGAAAATAACCTTTTAAAGGTTATTTGTATTGATATGGGTTTTATGATGATAAAACCTTGTTAGGAACTTGACTAAAAGGTTTCTAGAGTTCGTCGGAATTTCGCCGGAGTTCGCCGGAGTTTCGTCGGAGTTCAACCGAGGAGCGTAGAACGCGCTTAAGCTCATTTAAGGTGAGTGGACGACTTAATATCTTATAACTTTTGGATTAATTATGAGATTACCTAAATGAATGTTATATGTATTCATAATGATGTTTAAAAGATATTTAAACATGTGATTAGCCAAAATGATTAGGCATGTATGAAATGAAGTACATGAATATGCATGGAATATCATATGAGAGTTTCTATGAAATTGCATACTATGTTTGA